TATATATATATATATATATATATATATATATTAGAGCTAATTTGATGAGAAATTATTATGTGCGGTCACCATACCATTTGAAAGTCAATTAGGATGTGCCACACCATTGATACACATCGGTAAACAACAACAACAACGGTACACAATACATTGGTGATATGACATATCCTGATTGATCTCTGGATGAGGTCCGGCGACCACATATAATAATTTTGCTAACTTAATTGAGCGTACACAAAATGAAAAAAGTTAAATATTTTTATTTGATTTGAAATAAAATGAATTCAATATAATGTCGACCTACAACGACAATGATTGCCTATAGAGGTGGATGATAATGACGATGATGGTCAGCAATGGGCAACAGATGGCTATGGTCATCAATGGACAATTCAAAATTCATCCATGAATAAAACTGCTTTTAAAATGAAGCCTATCAAATATCTAAAATTTAAAAAAATATACATTTTATTTACCTTACACCTAACACCCCCATAAATATTTTATAAGGCACAAATCAGCTAAGCACCCAATCAAGCTTTATAAAACAAAACTCACTTGTCTATATAAACAATTCTAAAAGAATGATGTACAATTATGGGTCCAACAACATCAAGATTTTATCACACTACGTGAGGTCAGCTACATGAATTCATTTTCTTCATTTTAAGAGTCAAATTCTCATTTAAATCTAATTAAGATATGTCATTTATAATATTTTTTAACCGAGTTTTTTTAGGTCTACCTTTGTTAATATAGGTCAAATCTAACACATCTATTCTTCTAACATGATTATCGAAAGGCCTCTGTTTTATATGACCAAACCATCTAACGTGACTCTCTCTAATCTTATCTGTCACTATCCAAATATCCTCACATATCCAGAAAATACAAAAGCCCGACAACATGTAAGAAACTGATGCATCAATCACAGCAATAAACAAATTTATACACTAGAGAATTGATGGAGATGGACAAAAATCCAGATGTACTCAAAGATGATCTACATTGAAAAATTCATGCATTTCCCCAACCTGACCTTATTGCAAGTTCAAATAATAGGGAACTAAAGCAGCAGATGAACTGCTACAGCTTCAAATCAGGAAATGAAGCAGCAGCAACAAAGGACAAAATTAAGACGAAGGCAAACAAACTTAATCTACAACACTGCACTCTTGATCCCTAATTTATAGAAGGATTCACGTTTACTTGTAGAAATTTACAAGGTAGAATGAGATTATCCATGTTAGTTTTTCACTTACCCAGTTACTTCTACCAGGGACCTGTTTGTGTCCTCCTCAAGCATAACTTCTTAGTCTCTTCCTGCTGATTAAGCGCCTCCAAGGCCTGTTAAAAATCAGAGAACCGTCATATAAGAACATATTCAGCCTGAAAAAATTTCTCATGAATTTAAAAGTAATTTTGATATGATCCAGAAAAGGCAGCATGGTATTTTTCTGCATTAGATTTCTCGGAATTTGACCAAATGGAGTAATAATCTTGGTTTATTGTGTCGATATCATTCCCATAATCTCATTCTTTCTTGCTGATTTTTGTTGTGTTATCTCTTCGTTATTGTTGTTTTTGGCTGTGGAGATCAGATTCTTATCAGCAATGAAGCAGTTGGTTAGCGAGAGTGAGCAAATCTCAAAGCTAAGTAATAATCTTGAGGTTGAGAGTTTGAACCTCTCTATTAAGAATAGTTGAATTGAGCTTTTAACCCTTCAAGTGCCTTTGATGTAATGGTTGGTGATTTCATAAGAATTCTAAGGTAATGTATGCTCATGCTAGATCAATCCTAGGATAGATGATCGTCCTAAGAACAAAATCATGATGTTGTATAGACCAAAATGGATAAAACTTCAATGGATAAGCATCAATGCTATGACAAATGGTATCAGAACAATATACAAGCAAAAAGATGGGTACTAAGTATGATGCAGAAAAAAATATAAATTACTAGTAATTTTATTGCACCAAAAATACTTGAAAAAAGAGTACAGTATAAATAAATCAAAATAAATTGCCCCAAACAGCCATAAACTGCATGTGCGAAAGTGAGATACCACTCACCCATTAGCACTGACCAAATTACTCACTAGAAGCACAGAATATTAATTGAAAGACTAAATCCTAGAGTTTAAAAAAGAATAAAAGCAAAGCAAGAGTAACAATATCTACACATATCTACGAGTAAACTAGTTTGACCAAGAAATGCTCAAATCCAACAAGAACGCAAAATAACTAAAAGGAGGTATATAAGAAAACTGTGATGTAAAACAAATATTTGAAAGAACCATAAAGTAAATTTCCACAAAGCAAGATTCAAAAGCCTACCCAACCATAAAATAAGGAGATAGCCATATAGGAAAACCTTTTCGGGAAAGCACTAACTATTTAATTATTCAAAGGAAGAGAATATTTACCCGATTTTTCTCCATCTCCATGATCAAAGCCTGCCAAATTTTAGAGAAAAATTAACCATGGGTCAATAACAGAAAGGTGGTGCATCTTATGGATGAACATGAATTTATAGAAGCTCATTGTAGAAATATCAATTATGTTCATCTTTATGCTTCTTTAATGAGAATTATTTTGATCGTGCTTGTCAATCACAAGCATCCACCACATAATTTCAAATCAAACTCATAAAAATATTAGTCAATTTTATTTGCTCAAACCAAATTAAGGAATTTTCTATGTATGCATAGAGCATGCAGGTGGCATCTAAATTTACTTTGACTTGTTCAATATTTGCTGATTTCGAGTATTGAGATCTCCACAGTTTTCATTTACACTTACTTTCTTTTAGATGAAAGCATACTATACCGAGCATTATATTAGTTGTAAAAGGAAATCCTAAGCTTAAGTCGTCTTGCATCAAATTGGTATAATGTGTACATCATGTTAATTAAAAGTAGTACATTTAACCGAGTTATTAAGAAAATAATTAATGATGCAATTTAAATAGGATGGAGTAGGTCATGGCTCTAGACCACTACAATGTGATTGTCATGAGATTTAAAATTGCATTTCTATATTTGATGGGAGCATCAACTTAAGAAAAATTTCTAGATGGATTAATGATTTAAAAGACTTCTTTTTAACACTATTATTTATTTGATTAAAACAAAGTTGAAATTATTGAGACAAAATTAATGAGACATGCTTGATTATTTTGGTAAAGTTTTCAAGTTAAAATAAATACATCAAAGGCTAGCATAAAACATACGCTTAAAAAATATCTGTTATTTCATTCATATCATGATGAATTGCATAGTCAATTTCGAAGTTCTACAAAAACAACAACAACAACATCAAGCCTTTATTCCACTACGTGGGGTCGGCTACATGAATCTTTTTTCTCCATTGTGTCCTATTAAAAGTCAAATTCTCGTTTAAATCTAATACTCATTCATATTTAGGGTGCTAAGATCACTATAGTCAATCTTATTTTCACAATCTTCATTAAAAAGTTGAGCAAAAAAAATCCTAGCATATGAATATGATAGGAAATACTTGAGTTCGCAAGTAACCCTAAGGGAATACTTGAGTTCGCAAGCAAATCTAATCGAAATTAGCAAGAAAGAAGAGAGAAAACTGCTGTTTAAAGCAGTAAATCAGACCAATCACAGCAGATTTTGCACAGAAACAGTGAGAAACTTGGAGAAAAACAAAGGAGTTCACTAGTAGATGCGAGAAAACAATAAAAGATACAATGTTCTTCAATTTGAGAGGAAGAACAACTCTCCACAAGTCTCTAGCAAACCCTAGATTCCAAGCACAAGAAAAGATCCCAAATTTTCATTCAAAATTCAAGAAGCTCCCTAATTCCCTCCTATTCCTCTAATTAACATCAAAGGAGAATTACAACTTACCTAATCAGCCATTACATTCAAATCTTTTCCCCCAAAAATTGCATTAAGCCCATCATGGGGCCCACAGGAGTTCCACCCCCTTCCCTGTTGTTTCTTCTGCCGTGCATAGACCAGGACCGGTCCAACTAGCCCCGGAGGGGCCGGCTTGGGAGTAAGCATAACAGAATATTATGCCATATAGCTACATATAATTTGGCTTTAGACTCTTTTGTTATTATTACATGTTTCATTAAAGTTCTCCGCAAGAGTTTAGGAATGAATTAAACTAAAATTCACTAAAAACACTACAGGCTTTACATAAACTTTTAAGCATCGAGGCATGCTATGAGCATCCTATATTGACTAATGTGCCTATCCTAGTTCCTAATAATTCAATAACATCTTATCTACAGCCATTTACTAGGCTCATATATGGTCGACGCTTGTCCAATCAAGGAAATAGTTGGCAGAGAATATTTTAGATGAATAAAATGACGTGCAATTACAAAATGAATCTGAATATGATGCTTTTGAATTTAAATCTGCATTTAAATTAGATCATGTTCATGAATCTAAACCTACAATTGATCAAAAGTCGAAACTGGAGTTGGAGAGAAAAATTGAGCATGGCATCATATCTAAAACTGAATCTCTGATATAATTTGAACCTATGCTTGCATATGATTATGAACCAATCATATTTGATGTAGTAGATGAATCAAATGGGCAATTTGAAAATTCAACTTTTGATAAACTATATGTTGATATTGCCCATATAAAGGATGATTAGCCTGATATTACTTTTCTTTAGCTTCTTGGGGTTATTTGGGTAGTAGCATTTTAAGTGCAAAGCAAAATAACCGTAAGGGTTTTGAAATTCGAGTATTTGTTTGAAATGTAAAGTATTTTTTGATTGAATTTGAAATTTACACTCTAGTTCATTTTTAATATATTTAGAATTCAATTGTTTTGAGAGCATCATAAATACACAACTTGTGTAAAAGAGATCATCGCCTCCTACCACCATCCTATCACATATTGTCAGCTACTGCTACGCCATCCACTACCCCCGCCATTGGTGACCTTATTGCTTCAAATACACTGCTAGTTTACTAAGCATTCCCTTATTTCAAACTAAACAAAAAAAGTAAACTCTTGCATCTTCGTGTAATCAAACAAACATCAAAAGTACATTAAATACACTATTTTTACTTCATATTGCATTCATTTTACTCTGCAATTCTTTTTCATGAAACCAAATATCCCCTTAGTTCGATATTTTCATTCCTTGTTCTATTTTCATCTCCTTAATAAATTATTGACATGCTTAGTATTCTTTATTTTAATTAAAAAGTGATACATTATAAATCTAATTAGTGAAAATTAATTCAATCAATTTTTTTTTTTTAATTCTTTGATATTTTTTATCATTTCATTATCAATTGATTTTACAATCTAGTAAAATATGTTTTCATTTAAAAAAGATAAATCCAAAAATAGCCAATCGACTATTGATATTTAGTCAATTTAGTCCCAAAGCATCCCATTTCTCCAATTTAATCATCAACTATAGAGAATTGAACCAAAATGAGTATAAAATTGATCATAAATTAGTCCCTCAACTATACAAAATTGATCCCAATTTAGTCCACGAGGGACACTTGTGGATAAATTTTGTATAGTCAATAGACTAAATTGAAAAAATAGGGTACTCTAAAACTAAATTGGCCACATGCAAATAGTCGGTGAACCATTTTGGGATTTAACCCAAAGAAATGAGATGTTGAATTAACTGGTCGTCATTCATGAATCCAAACTTTTTTCATTGCATAAAAATATATTACACATCATATTATTTGCATTAAAAAAATCCTAACATTGTGTCCTCTTGCATCATTAAAAACCATTCTATCAACGATAACATAACAATTAAATAGTGGTATGATGGGTTTTGAGGAAAAAAATGCACTCCCAAACAAATCCTAGTAGATGAATGATAATTTCCATGTTGCACATACAATGCAAACCGCTTATTGCTCATTCATCACACATAAATTTTAGAAAAAAATTTGGGTCAGGATATCATGACCAATGTTTAAATATCATGACCATGACCAATGTTTAAATAGGATGTATCTTAAAGCTATTGAATTTATCTTGAGATGAGTGCAATAATTAGAAAATCAATCAAAACTTATGTTATATTTCTTCCAAAATAACAACTATTTGAAACCCATATAGACCACAAATTTAGTCGGGATATATGGCTTCGAAAATTTGAGCTTTTGGGGCCCAAGGTGGAGGTCAACAGGATATTCTGACCTTTTTTTCTAAAATATAATAGCTCCGTTAGCATAAATAGTATAGTCCAATCTTCTTTGCAAATAACTGAAAACTTAATATAAATATAATTCTTATAAATCCTTGGGACAATCTGCAGGCAACAATATTAAAAAAATGCAACATTTAAAGACTATTTCTGAAGGTCAAGCAGATTAGATTTTCCGTTAAAAATTGAAGTCTAAAGTAGAGATTAGCATTCATTCCAGAGTGCAAACAATACAAGAAAGTGGGCTTTCTCTAAGTAATGGATAGATTCATAAGCATACAATCATATCATGGTCAAAGAAAAAAAAAAGTAACAAAGGTTAGTTAAAGAGCAATACCTGCTTCTTTTGCAATTCCTGGTTTTGCTCTTTAAATTTAGCTACTTCAGCTTCCAGCTCCATCGTGTAAGCCTGGTCCAAGATTGTAGAATAAGTAAACTACAATTCAAAAGTTTTCTGGGCTTTCTACAGGTTTCTACAAGTAAATTCCATCTACCACTGTACGGGGACCATCAACTACGTCTACTTAAAAAAAAATCATGAAGATCATCAATCAAAGTTTCCCTTTTCATACTAACAAGATGAAGACTATTCACTTCCATTAACCAAACAGTAAATTTTGGGCAAGGAGAGATAGACCAAGACCAAAAGTTTATAACATGCGGATGCACTCCAGGCCTCCAGCTAACGTAGTAATTGACCACTTGTAAGGATCCAATTACCTATGCCAGCCCCTCAGATGTACTTTGCATGGCTATGATTATTTGATTTATCTTTTTCAAAAATCACCATCTTAAATGAGGATTCATCCGCATAACGAGCATGTATAATAAACTGAGTTAGTGATGACTGGACAAAAAAAGAAACAGAAATTTAACACTTCGTAACTTAAAAGGGAAGCCTGGTTAGGCAACATGGTGCTAGATGTCATTTATAGCTATCTGTTAGCGTTCCAACAAAAAGTTCAACCAGGGAAGAAACGGAAACATAAAACAAAAAAAAGATAAATTATATGTCATTTATTAATTTTTTGTTCAGGATTGGTTTTAGACCACAAAATCTATTTTGAGATGAATGTAATATAAAACTTAATTGCTTACCCATGCATCTCAAAACAAATTCAACTATTTTAATACTCATCTTGATCAATTTTTGATCGAGGGTTTTCTAATATAAATTTTTTCAAGACATAAATATAGACAATTCTGGAAAACAATTCCCTTCAAAAAATAGCCGGCTTGAAATTTGCTTTTAAAAACTATTAAAAACAAATGTGAAAAAAAAAGAAGTGACCCGTTCAAAGAAAAAAAAAACAACAAACAATAAGTTAATTTAAATCCTGATAAACTATATTTGTCCTCAGAGAACGATGAATCAGCATAGGTAGGGAGTGGGGAGAAAATTAGCAATAGCGGTCAAGTGATTCATGCACATGCAGAGTAGGAAACAGAAAAAAATGAGGCGTTGAAACCATTTAAAACTAGTACAGTCCAGTCAAACTGCAAGCAGCAGATCACATCACGATGAGCTGGAAAGATTGTAATAGATTGTTGGAAAGTTTGTAATATGAGTATGATTTGTTTCACATCTCCTAAGAAAAATACATGAAAGTGTTTATAAGGAATTTGTCTTTTTGATGGTTAAAATAGTTAATTAGACCTTGTAAAAGAATGAATGCATTTGCGCCGCTTATAATGTTTATAAGTCAAAAACTGGACACTTGTGCATTTATTACAGGCTATAATAAACCCTCCATGAAAGTTTTATACAAAATCTTTTGTAGCTTCTTGAGAATATTCAACTGTCCTGTTTATTCACCAAGGGAAGCAATATCTTCTTTGAAGAAAGTGATCATACACGCCTCAAAACAACCACTAAAATTTAACATTCTTCAACATAACTCTAGAATTCTTAGGAATGGCCAACTTATATAGAGAAAAAAATAAAAGATCACCTGCTTTCTGGCCCGAGACCTCGCTGCTGATTCTCTGTTCTTTATCATTCTCCTCTGCCTCCTCTCCACAACCTTTTCCACAGCTCCACTGCGCTTCTTCCCCCTCAAGTCCCCATTGAAAAGGTAAGGCACGGGAGATAAAGAAGAAAGATCACCATTCACATTTGTAAGGCCGTCGGGAGGAATCTGGTTCGCCGGCGATATTGACGTGACAACGTTGGCCCCTACTCCACCTAAGCCGACCATCCCAGGGATCATCCCATTGTTGACAACCGTATCCCCAATACCAAGGAATCCTCCACCTCTCATCCCCTGAGAGTTCATATTACTGCCCAATGGCAACTGTGGGGCGTATGTCCTCGCACCCTTGGCGGACATAGCGAGATTAGCGTTATCATTGCCCGGAATGGAGCTCGTCATGATGTTCGCATTATTGCGTCCTGCCTGAGAAAAACATAGTGAGAGACCGGAGTTATTATTTCCAGAAGCCAAAGAATCCCCGTAAAAGACGCTATTAGTAATATTGGCACTGCTGCCGTCAGGAATTCCTGTGCTATTAATAGCAGGTCCCGAAACCGAATGGTTGATCTCCTCTCTCACCACCCCAGCTCGTACAAGGAACTCCTCGAGGGTCATCTCTCCAATGGTCGGCTGCCGCTGCTGCTGCTGGAAGTTGGATCCACCCACTCCGCCAGCGCTTCCGGGGGTGAGATCTCGCCACACTTCGTCAACGGTCTTCTGGCTGAGTGTTCTCGGAAGCGTAAGCGATCCCTGACGCTGGAGCCCAGATTGTAAGCCTAAACCTCCATCAGGGGGGGCGCCAAGAGCAGAGGCCACGGCCTGGCTCTCTTCGGCTGTCCAGATGTTCTTCAGGAACTCCTCCATGTTCATCGACCCAAACTCCTTCCCGACACCACCCATCGTGCTCTGAAACTCGTCAAAGGTTAGTGAATAGATCGACGATTGCCGCGTCAGCGGCTGTGCCGCCGCCCCGTCCGGCTCCTGCCGGACGTCCATGCCGTCTACTCCGATGCCCCTGAAGTTCATATTGTTGCGTGTCTTCCGCCCAAATTCTCACAGATTTGATGCTCGCACCGATAATCTCCCCCTTCCTGTAAGCATCAACGCACAACGAGATCTTGTCCGGATCGCAAACTAAACCCTAACAGTATGCTCTGATCAAAATCCAGCCAACAATCAAAGTGGAGATTGCAAAGATCGTCACGTTATATGCCGAAATTTAACAGTGTGAAAACTGAAAACATTATAAAATCTATGCGAGATTAAAGAGAGATCTTTATTATAGCAGCTGCTAAATTGGGGTCATCGATTGTGACGACCCTACCAAATATAATGAATATCCATTACTTACATCTGAAAAAAACATTTTATTCATAAATTTAATTAAGTGATAATATATTATGAGTTTTTATTAGGGTATCAATTTCACGGGTTGGATTCGGTCGAATCAGGAACCGATCTGACACTATTTGGGTCAATCGAGTCCAACCCATTTTTGCAACCAGTTCATTTTTTCGGATAAGAACTCGACCTGCTTCGGGTCCGGATCAACCCAACATGACCCGAATGATCTGGGGCCGATAAAAAATTGCTAGTTTTCGAATCAATCTCTTATTTCGGGTCAAAATGGGTAATAAAACAAGTCAATCTTGATTTTCTGAGTCAAAACATATCGAGGCAAGAGCCTTCATTTGATCGCCTTCCCAAGTCGGATATTAGGTCAATAATTCTCAGAAAAAAGAAAAATATATGCTAGTGTAAAGAGGTTCATTTTTCTTTTTAAATTAAATTTGATAAGAAAACTTCGAATCAATTTTGTAATTATGTTGAGCTCATTATAAGTTAATCTAATTAATTTTGTATGAAATATTTTTAAATCAAAGTAAATCAATTTTAATGTTTACTAGATTAAAAATTAAACGACTATCCAAGAAATTTTAAATTTAAAACATAATCATCTTTTCTAATTTTTTTCCTTGGAGAAAACTACTAATCTAATTAACAAGGCATATATAACTTTCAAACTACTCAAAATACACGCATCTCTCTCCTTTTTTTTGGTAAAATTATTCTGTACGGATACGGACGCTGTCCGAAGATGAATCATAATGCACCACATCACTTTTTTACTATGTATTATCAAATGATGTGGCGCATTCTAATTCGACTCCAAACGATTCGGTGTCTGAAAAGAATAATTATAAATTTCTCCTCTCTTTGACTTGAGAAGGTGTGAATAAGCACGTGCGAGAATGGCAGCAGCCGCAGGAGCTTATCCTCGCTGCCAAACCTTACCAAATTCGGACATCCACGGGCCCACTACCACAAAACTGGTAAGATACAGTTGACCTTCAGTGCTTTGAAAAGCCAATCTTCCTTTTTTAGACATGTGTTTTTTTAGAGATTTTTTTTAGTATTCATTGCAAATGAATAAATAGTCGGCCAATTAAAAAAATATAAAAAAATACAGCTCATCTTAGTCTGTTGGTTGAGAGCTTAGGCTTACAATTAAGAGCTCTTGGGTTCGAGTCTTTGTGTATACGTTGTGTGTATGAGTTTGACTTAAATGACTTGAATGTCTCATATATATATATATATATATATATATATATATATATATATATATATATATATATATATATAAAGTTTAGCATCCTAGTCATATATGAAGATCCATCACAAAAATAGATGAATGAGTAGGAATGTAACATTCATATGAGGCATCATAATTTTTACGAGAAACCTCGAAAAACGGAAAAAATCATGGGGCCATGCTCAGTTTAAATGAATCATTTAGTGTTTTCAGTTGATTACAAATGGGACCCTTTCTTGTGGGGAAGGCATTAGCTCAATGTTGCAAATATACATAATATAAAGTACATTGCATTGTGGGAATTGGAAGAATCAGTTTGATATGTTTGTCTGGTCAGCATGACCATAGTTGGTGAGCGATGTAGGTCGGAAGGACAATAGTCGGACGATGTGGTTGGAATGAACGTAGTGGGCGATCGTGGGCGGAAGGACCGTAGTCAGGCGATGATTTGATTATTTTAAAAAATAAAAATTTAATTTTTAAGATTCTCATTCATATATCAAAATCTAAATTTAAATTTTAAATTGTATTTCTTAATTTTTTAAATTGTCAAATTCTTAGTATGTTTTCTTCAAGTACTTTCTTTCTACAAATATAAATAGAAATTTATTACAATAAATTTTAAACATAAGTAAAATAAAAAAAAATGTATTGATCTACGTCTATGCTTAGTGTAAGGAGTTGCTACCCATGCTTGCATAGTTAGAATCTCGATTTTTTGTGTTTAAAGCATTACTATCTAAATTTTCATTTAAATAAAAAAAAAGTTTGTTACGAAGCTACATACACAAAATATTCATCATCCTTAACGAACTCATTTATTAATTCTTTACGCCCATGTAAAAGTTTATTATATATCCACAATTTTTTATTTCAAATGTCCACGTATGCGGTTTATTTATGCAAAATTAAAATTTACGTCGAAAGGATCGTTGTTAGGTGATGATGGTTGGGGAGACCGTAGTCTAGAGAAGGTGGTCAAAGAGATTATAAACGGTGGGCGACCGAGGTTGAAAAGACTGTTATCGGGTGAAAGTGGTCAGAAGGATCGTAATCGGCGGGCAATCCCCAACCCAATTAGGATATGTCCCATCGTGTTGAGCTATGACAGATAAATCCGAAGATCTAATTTTGGAAAGTTTCAAATTATCTTCTAATTTCATTTCAATAAAAAATACAGGCTACAAAGCTATTAAAATATCCAAATACTGAAAAATAATCTCTTCCACATTGGTTTTTTCATTTTATCAAAAAAATATATATTACAATACATGGCTACAATTAGAAGCTACATAATTGAAAAACAAACTAGTTATGATTGTACAAAAATCAAAATAATAAAATTCCTATTAACTCAAATATTATCATGAACTGCTAATCAACAGCCTCATTTCCTATCCCAGACTCTGAAAATCACAATCAACCAATAATAAGCAACAACAGCTCAGCAAATCACATAAGACAATCTAAATTTTTAAATTCTTTTCTTTTATTAATTAAATATTTTGAAGAATATTTAAAAATAGTTAAATGCTATCATATAATTCAATGTGTGTACTAGGAAAGGTAACTAAAGCATAACAATTTTTTGCAATTAACAATACTGAGCAAGTGAACAAACGAAGCATATAAAGTATAAAATAGTTTATATCATATATATAACATTTCATATTTCATATTCCGATCCAAGATAAAATGTCAAAGGATTTTGGTCCCTTATGTCTCCTTTTTGTACTCATAGCACTAGAACATGTTTGTAGGCACTAGAACATGCCTTACAGGCACTAAAATATTACATAACATATACATTATCTCAAAAGACCTCTTATAACTCACACCATATATTTTTCAATCTTATAAGCATATATCTCACCACATAGGCATATATTTCATCATATTACAGTAATTAAAGTAAAATTTATCACATGATAGAATTTCATAGTATTGTATAAAGGTAGATAACTGAACTTCTTACTGAGCAAATTTTTATAATGTCAAAACGTAACCAAATTACAAAAGAATGTATAAAACACTATTTTAAGATATTTATTGAACTAAACATTATTTTTCAGTGTTTAGATTAATTTTTGTTCAATTAAAATAGCACAAATTTCAAAAAACCTGGTATAAAAGCTTCAGAAAATACTCAAATGTTTGTAATCATGTTCTCATAACATATAAAAAGTTATGCGGAGAAAGTTTTACCGTTATAAAGCTATTCACATTTTCGCTAACAGAAATACAATTTTAATCAAAAAATTCAAAATTTTTCATATTTTGAAAACATAGATAGAAATAAAGTGACTTACTTTGATTCACACAACTTTTCCAACTTGGCTGACAGTTGAAAATGGCCCGAAGTGGCTCAAAACATAATTTTCTCTCCAAACCTCTCTTTCTATCTCCTACTTGGCTGGTTGCTCGAATGAAAAGATCGGATTAATGGAATTAAAATATATTTAAAGAGCTCATAATGACCTAATGCTGCGGTCCTCAAATCGGAGCACTGCAGCGATAAAAAATCTGCAACTGCAACAACCTGAGATCTTGTGCCACAATGTCACTTTCGGGCGCCTTGGCTGAGTGCAGCGCCGCGGCGCTTGAACATGCGACATTGGTGAGCTCCAAAAGTGATATTTTCTAATTTTGCCAAAATTTGCATGCAACACTTGGGACACATTCTATAGCACACCTAATCAATTTCTTCCTCTTCTTTCCCTCTCTTTCCTCCCCTTAATGTGAATAATGTGTGTGTGTGCAGGGGCGGCGGGGGGAAATAAATTTTGCAAATAAAAATATATCATTAGGCAAATAAAAATGATTCATATAATTTAAGAAAAGTTATAACATTAATAATATATATATATATATATATATATATATATATATATATCATAAATAAAATTTTAATCTGTTAAGCAAAAAATAAACTTAAATATAACCTACAATTACCAAAAAACTCACAATATTCTAACCTAAAATTTGTAAACTAAATGCATTACTAAAATCTAATGGAAAAATGAAGTTAATGAATAAATATTATATTTACCTAAAAATTTTTACTTAGACCCAACATATGAAAATGTTAATTTTTACACCAACACAAAATAGCATAAATCTGGTCTAAAACATAAATATTTCCTAGACCTATTCTTGCAATCTAAAGCAATATATACTTCTTTGTTCTAACCTTTTTTTCAAAAAAAAATTTATAAACCTTAAACCTTACACTTTAGATTGAGCAAATTCTTAAATTTATTGAAAAATAAGAGAGAAGGAGATTTACGTTCAATTCTATAGAATAATTGAAGAAATTCGATAAACCAATCAGATCCAAAGTGAGAATATTTTTATCTAAATGGAAGAAAGCATTGTGAGAAATACAAGTCAAATTTCTCTACTGATAAAGGCAACACCATTAATTTATAATATGAAGCAAAGAAATAATGCTGTTGATTAAATTAAATTATCCATTTACATGGCAAGCCAGTGGTTCATCCCACGTGGACAAAAAATCGACCGTTCAACACTGTGGACCCCACGATTTGTTCAAGAAAAAGGCTCTTTGTTTATCGTCCAGGCGGTTGGTTGGTCCTCAGATAAGCCATAGCTATAATAACTCTAACCGACATACTATTTTTCTTCATAATTTTTTATTTGTTAACCGCAGAAAATTCATATAATTATAATTTGGTCCCACTTATGCCACGTCATACCATTAACAATTTGTGAATGGATTTATAATATGAACAATACTCTGCTTTTGGTTCAATTTGAAATGTTAAGCCTCAGTCCAACATGATGACATAATTGGGGTTATTTTAAGGAAAGGAATAGAATTTCACAGAGAACCGAGTGATTAATTTTGTCTTAATATTATTTATAATTATTAAAATTTTATTGAATACAAAATTATATTAGGAGATTTACATATAAATCTTGAATTTCTATATTTAACGTTTAAATCATTATATTTGACATATAGCATAATAATGTTGAAAAAAAAATTATAAGAGAGAAGCCGCCTTCTCACATCCTTCATCCTTGATAAAAAAATTGACATCCACAAACCCTTCCTCCATGCCATTCTCCTTTAACAGCGAGCTCGGTTCCTTCCTCTTTTTCCTTGCCATTTGTTATGTGTGGAATCTGATTGTGTTAGATCGATCGGATTGGTTCTGTTACCTTGGACCTCAAGCTTGTCATGTTTGTATGTGTGTGTTGGGGGGGGGGGGGGTTTACTCTGTGGGGGGGGGGGGGGGGTTGTTTACTCTTGCTTGGTTTTGCACCAGAAATTTAATTTTTCAGCACAACGCACCGGCGCTGCGTACCCAAGCGCCAAGAACTGTGTACCCGAGAGACCCAACGCTAAACGACAAAGATCGGAGCGACACAACGATCTAGATATGGTGCCACAGTGGATTAAGACAGAGGTTTGAGCGTCGCAATGCCCCAAATTGGTGCCCTAGTGCTACGAGACAGACTGGATGATTTTCTTTCTCATTTTTTTGAAGGGTTTTGCATCCCTTGGGGTTATTTACTTGACTTTCTATTGTATTTTGAGTAGTGTAGATATAGAGAATGATGCATGTGAGAAGAGAAGCAATGAGAGAGTGAGAGAGAAGAGAGAAATGTACTTATTTTTCCTAATTTTCATACTAGATTTCTTCGTGGTGTGGCTCCGTATTTTTTCCCCTAATTTGTGTTTTTCCATGTTAAATCTTGGTGTCATTTACTTTGCACTACTTTTACTTTCTTGCTTATCACATCATTGTGATGTTTTCTCCTCATCCCCAACACCTTTTATCTTTTGCTTATGTTAAAATTTGCTCACTCCATCATCTTTGCTTGAAGTGATGAGAACAAAATTATCACCTTTGCATACTTCTTTTGATTGTTCATGTTGCATGCCCCATCTCCAGATTATTTCTGCTTTCATAGATAAAAAATTAGTTGTTGAATTTGAATTCTCAAACTCACTTGTTTAGAACAAGTTCTACTGAAGTGCTTCATAGACTATCACCACATGAGTAGATTTATTAATAATAAGATATCATTTGGTATTTAAAGCTTTTTTAGCAGGCTATTTGTATTTTTTTGGGTTTAGGTAATTTTATTTAAGCAGTTGTTTCTTTTAATTTTCTTTTCACTTATTGTTATTGCTACTTTGTTGATGTATTCTCATTTTGATTTATAATAGTTAGCGGTGTCAATAATAGTTAGGCTTGATGTTGTTATTGTTGTTGTTGTATGTTAGATATGTTACAAATTTATCGAAATTTCTTTTTGCTTAACTTATCTTCCTCCAATAGGTGCTACTCCAACTATCTATATGATATAATCATTTTTTACCATATCCTTCTTAGTTTTATCAAACAATTAGCCTTTAGCAGAAGAAAATTTGCATCTCTAGAAAATATCCACATGAAATGCAACACTCTTTACAACATAAATATAAAAACAACTTATAAGAAATTAAATTGTAATGCACCAAACCTTTTTACAGAATGAATACAGAATCATAAAAGCATACCTCTTGTATTGCGCGAAGGATAAATTTCAAAAGCCATCCTTTGAAGTTAAGCACCCTGATGTTGAACAACAAAGTGTGGAAATGTAATAGACAATCGAACTTTGAGTGGCTCATATAAAGGACGGCAAAATTTTCCATTTGAACTTTGTAGAATGACTAGTGGTCGCAGAATTATCCAAACAACAGAGCTTAAATCTTGCCGATCAAGAACTAATAACAAGAACTTGAGGGCCCATAAGTTTAAATCTTGCCGTGAGAGTCAAAAACAGAAGTGTTATTACTTATCTAATATGCTTCAAACCTTCCTATGAAGATACAGGATCATGACTACTCTCATGTCAAAATCTAGCACTTCGAGTATTCCATATATATCTTCTGTTTGTCAATGTCTTCACTCTTCAACAATAAAGGAAATCATTCTCCTTTTACCTCAATCCAGCTCTTCCCAGGAGATTTCTTCACCCCGCGGACCCCATAAGTTTAAATCTTTCCGTGAGAGTCAAAAGCAGATAAGTGTTTATACTTATCTAATATGCTTCAACCCTTCCAATGAAGATATTGGATCATGACTAACTTCTCTCATGTCAAAATCTAGCACTACGAGTATTCCATATATATCTTCTGTTTGTCGATGTCTTCGGTCTTCAACAATAAAGGCAATCATTTCTCCTTTGACCTCAATCCAGCTCTTCCCAGGAGATTTCTTCACCCCATGACTTCTCATTGATCTTCGTAGTTTGGCTAAATCATCCCAACAACCAGAAGAAGCATAAATGCTACACAACAAAATATAGGCGGCAGAACTATAGGGGTCAATGCATAGAACACTCTCAGCTGCTCTCTTCCCAATATCCATATTATTTTGAATCCTGCAGGCAGCTAACAAAGTCTTCCACATAATGACATCAGGTTCAATTGGCATCTTGTTAAGGAAGCTTTCAGCCTCACTCAATCTACCAGCTCGAGAGAGCAAATCAACTATGCATGAACAATGTTCTCTTGTGGGAGAAATAGCATAAATGGTACTCATCATGTCGTAGTAATAGAGCCCTTCATCTACCAGTCCAATATAACTACAGGCAGTGAGAACCCCTACAAATGTAACATGGTTTGGCTTAATCCCAAAGAACTGCATTCTCTTAAACAGCTCAAGAGATTCCCTTCCATAGCCAAATTGTGCATAGCCTACAATCAAACTGTTCCATGAGAAAACATCACAATCACTTCCTGTCAACTCAAACAACTTTCCTGCATGATTTAAGTTTCCACATTTGGCATACATATTAATCAAACCATTCCTAACCATCAGTGAATCCTCAAATCCATTTCTCAAGGCATGACAGTGAACTTGATTTCCCATGTCTAGCCAAGCCAAATCAGCAGAAGCACTAATTATACAATTGAATGTTATCTGATCAAACTCAATTTTCGAACTTCTCATCAGTCGGCATAACCTAAAAACCTGAAGTGGTTGTTCGTGCTGTAAGCATGCAGTTAAAATTGTGTTCCAAGAAACAGTATTGCGAGTATTATTCATTTCTTCGAAGAGATTCATTGCAGTATTCAGGTCTGAACATTTGGCATACATGTTTAGAAGGGCATTACAGACTGTAGTATTTCTGCCAAAACTCATCTTGAATAAATAAGCATGGAATAGTTGGCCTTGAAATAGAGACTGAGGGATCGTGCAAGCACAAAGCAGGCACCGAATAGTAATATCATCTGGTTCCAAACCTAAAAGTCTCATCTCTGAGAAAAATTGAATAGCTTCATCTGCAGAACCTCCAAAAGAAAATGCACCTATAACTGAATTCCATGAAACTAAATCAGGTACCTCAACCTGGTAGAATGCTTTCCTCGTGCAATTCAACATTCCACACCTTGCATACATGTCACTTAGAGAACAACCAGAGAATGCATTTTTTTCAAGCCCAAACTTCGTACATAAACTGTGAATCTGCTCCCCATACCCCAATAGACTTATATTTCCGCAAGCACTAAAAGCACTCCCGAAATGAAACTCGTTGGGTCGATGAACCCCTGTGCCGATCATTTCCCTAAAAAGGTGCAAAGCTTCCATTTCATGACCTTGCTGAGCAAATCCAGCAATCATTGATCCCCAAGAGACCAAATCCTTTTCTGTAATCCTCTGAAACACCAAAAATGCATCACTAATTCTATCGGTTTTCGAATACATTGTAACTAGTGCATTCAGAACAGTAGGATCAGGTCCATTACCTAACTTTATGACATGACAGTGCAACTGCCTTCCCAACTCTACATCCAATAGGCTAGAACAAGATCGAACCATACTTCCCAATGAGAACTGATCCGGAAGCAAGCCTGCATGAAGCATTCCTAAGTACAACTCCACAGCTTCAATCTCTCTATTGCTTTGGGAATACCCAGAAATCATAGCGGTCCAAGAAACAATATTTCTCTCGGGCATAATGTCAAACAGTTGGCGGGCGTCATCCATGGCTCCGCATTTGCCATACATGATGAGGATATGGTTGTGGAGGATGACGTCGGAGATGATTTTGGAGGAGGAGAGGTGACGGTGGACAAGGCGGCCATGGTGGATGGACTTGAGCTGGGCGCAGGCAACAAAGAGGTTGGCGTAAGTTCTGCGTTGGAGCGTTTTGGATTCAAGGGAATGAAAGGCGTATATGGCTTCTTTGAAGTGCTTCTGTTTGCAGAGTTCAATGATGTTTGCTTCGCCGCCACAATAGCAATGGGAATTAAGCTCGACGTGCAGTGGCAAGAGGGGCTGGGGAGAAGTGGAGAAAAATAGCCGTTGAACCTTTCTTAATTTGAATATCATTATTTTTCTTCGCTTTTGCTTAATGCATCTCCGTTTTCTTCAAATGTCCAGCTGTAATTTTCAAAGATCCCCTGCACTTTTGCAAATTTATATTTAACACCATTTTGTAAGTATGTATTAGTACTAATATTTGAAGTATATTTATATTTCTTAAGGCCTTGCAATTTTATTGTAGCTTTCTTTTTTTTCGAGTAGTTTTTTTATCCAACAACTTGACAATGACAACCTCGTCAATGAATAATTTTGTCGTGAGATCCCTCAACGACAAGTCATCTCTAAGCTTACAAATATTATCAGCCCAAATGAGAGGTAGATTTATGGAGATTGATTAGATGACTGAAGACATTATGAGAAAAAGAAGGAACATATATAATATGCAATTGGTTTATGATCTCTAGCTCATCTAAGATGTGGGATTACCTGTTTTGTCTCTTATCCATGTTATTTGCCTTATCTCTCTCTTCACTCTCGTCCGCTAGCTCTCTTTTTTTGATCTGATCATGCTAACTTATTAGTACTATGTAGCCATGTAGGCAGCTAATAGCCTTCTTTCCTTGCTGCACTCATTCACTCCGGAGGTTACTACGCTTCGTGCCTTCCTTGTGTTCAATCACAACTTTGTAGTAAATTTCTCTCAAAATTACAACATATGCTCCATCACAAAATGTCAATCATAACATTCTGACAAAAAAAAAATTGTCACAAATAAGTTATAAATCAATTTCAAAATAATGAAGAAAAAATGGCCACAAAGTTGTTGCAAATCCGTGCCAATAATTTTTACGACAAAAAATTTTGATTGTAATATTTATCACAAATTTATATCTCTGAACAAAATAAGATTTATTTGAGCCTAACTCATATATTAATATGATGAGTAATGCATGTTGTTCGTATGTTTTTGAAGAAGATATATTATCAGACACATATATTTATAAAATAGAAGAAACATCATGTTCTAATTGCATTGATGAGCCTTCTTGAGAGGTTGCAAGAGACAATCAAAGTTATGATCGTAGTTACAAAGTTGATGAACTATAAAGTTAAATTTAACATGTTGAATGCTTAACTTAACTGCTATCTCTTTATTATTGTTGCGTCCTAGAGTATTCGCGGCGGTATAGAAATATATAGTTTAACGTCTTAGCATTGTACGAAGATCCAGCACACAATTAGATAAGTGAGAGGGTGTAGCATTCATAAGAGACACCAGAATTTTTATGTGGAAACCCCTAAAAAGGGGGAAAAATCACGGGGCCTAATCCAGTTTGAATGAATCCACTAGTATTTGCAGTCGATTACAAATGAGGCCCCTCTTAAGGAGAAGGCCTTGGCTTGATGATACAAATGTACATCATATAGAGCGCATTACATGGTGGGAGTTACAATATAGGCATGTTTGTTTGGTCGGCACGACCATAGTCGATAGGATGAAGGTCGGAAAGATCGTTGTCATGTGATAGAGGTTGGAAGGACCATAGTAGGCAACGGAGGTCAGAATGACCGTAGTCGGCAGGAGACCGGGGTCAGAAAGACCGTTGTCTGTTGATGGAGGTCGAAAGGACCATAGTAGGCGATGGAGGTCCGAAGGACCGTAGTCGGCAGGAGACTAGGGTCAGAAAGACTGTTGTCTATTGATGGAGGTCGGAAGAACCATAATAGGCGACAGAGGTCTGAAGGACCGTAGTTGGTAGGAGACCAGGGTCAGAAAGACTGTTGTCTGTTGATGGAGGTCGGAAGGACCATAGTAGGCGACGGAGGTCAGAAGGATCATAGTCGGCAGGAGACCGAGGTTAGAAAGACTGTTGTCTGTTGATGGAGGTCGGATGGACCATAGTAGGCGATGGAGGTCAGAAGGACCTTAGTCGGTAGGAGATCGGGATCAGAAAGACCATTGTTTGGTGATGGAGGTCGGAAAGACCATAGTAGGCGACGAAGGTCTGAATGACCGTAGTCGGTAGGAGACTAGGGGTCTGAAAGATCGTAGTTGGAGGGCAGAACTTCGGTAGAAGTTCGGGCGTCAGGTGATGGTCTGGTAGAACTTCGGGCCTCATGTGATGGTCTAACGAAGGTGAGGGCCTTTAGCAAAGGTGAGGGCCTCTGGCGAAGGTGAGGGCCTCTGGCGAAGGTGAGGGCCTTTGATGAAGGTAAGAGCCTCTGGCGAAGGTGAGGGCCTCTGGCGAATGTGAGGGCCTTTAACGAAGGTGAGAGCCTCTGGCAAAGGTGAGGGCCTCTAGCGAAGATGAAGGCTTCACGTGGTGGTCCGGCGAGGCTCCGGCGGTGGTCCGACGAGGCTCCGCGGTGGTCCGGTGAGGGTGAGGGCCTCAGGTGGTGATCTGACGAGGTTTCTGCAGTGGTCCGGCGAGGCTCCTGCGGTGGTCCGGCGAGGTTCCGGCGGTGGTCGAGAAGGAGCTTCTTCCTTCTCTTCTTCTCTTCTCCTCTTCTCTTCTTGCTTGGTCCCCCCTCAAGAGAAATGAGGGGTCTATTTATAAATTTTCTGGAGTGGCATGGCCCGTAAATAGGTGAGAGATCAAGGGTAAAGGGGGAGTGCTCGAATGGACGGCCGATGTTGAATCCCTTGATCATGGACCGTTTGATGGACATTTGAAGGAGTTAATGATGTCGAAATTTGGCGATCTTGGACTCGTTGGATTTGTCTCGTCGAGCCGCTCGATTCAAATATAAGCTTATCAAGTTTGGAAACAGTTTGGTAACCCAAACTGCTGTTCGAACCTTCCAACATTGCTTCTAACCCTTGCTTTGGATCCATTTGGACTCAGATTGAGTTAATTTTGGTGTCGTTGGGTTTATATTTCCGAGACGCTCAGTTCGACTGTAAGTTTGCTGAAATTGGAGTTTGGATGGTCCCAATTTTAATTTCGGAAATTTCCAACTTGATTTTGCATCAAGATTCTTGCCCGATCAAAAAAAAATTGACGACGTACCAATTATTAAGTTCATGATACTGGAAGACAAAAAATTAATTGGTGATATGTAGGAAAGAACTGAAATGATATGCAAAAAATATTGAGTTCTTTTAGCGGACCCATAAGAAGAAAGGGGCGGATAATTCGGTGCATGAGCTTGATCACATTTTATGGATGGTAGCTAAAGGTACTTATGTTTCGTTTTGGACGGCTTTCTTACTGTTTTTTAAAGCACATTTCTAGTACAAAAAAAATTTGCTTCAAGAAACAGTTTGTGAGAAAATCTGTAAAGAAGCAGAGAATGAAACAGACAGAATGACATGAAGAACTTAAGTTCTGTAGTTTTATTGTAGCATCATATTGAGCTTAACGATGTTCTTGCACTATAATACAAGCATATATAGAAGGAGAGAGGACATTTAGCTAGAATGCGTGCTAAAAGTCAGTTGGCAGACTACTGTGACGAACGAACGTAGTGGAGTAGTTTGTTTCGGCTTGTTCAGGTGGTGGTCCTCTTCAATTTGCTTGACTGCTTGTATTAGTGTGATTACAGTAAGAAAGCCGTCTCAAATCGATAATGCAATAGTGGGTGATGGCAATCATGTGATCAATGTTAAAAGAGCTACAATATAACAAGGTTTTCTACGCAAACTCGCAAAGTAATGAACGATGATTAATAGAAGTTTTAACAATTGTATATAAATCTTCTCATATATATTAACAATAAATTCCTATTTTGACCAAATTTGTGACCATTGGGGTTGTCACAAAAAGACTTTTCTTCTAGAGTGAATGTAATTATCTTTAAGGATGAAGTTAATTATATTTAGCTTACATAACATGTATTAGAATAACAAATAATATTTATTAAAATATACAATTTTAGCATTTGGAATAAATAATGTGCAGGTTAAAGTTTTTGTCACTTGTTTATTTAAATTATTTTGTTAATTTAATATAATTTAATAATTTTTTTATTGCTTTTATAAAAGTAGAAAAATCAACTAGTAATTAAAAAACAAATTTACTGCTCATAATAGAAGATGTACATTAACAACAAAACCAAAACAAACAACCAAGATTAATTTTGTTCAATTTCATAGTTTTATCCAAATAATATATAACTAAAACTTATAAACAAGAAAGTCATATATTCAAAAGCAGATTTAATATCAACTATCTTCTAAGCCTTTGTTTGGGATAGCTTCTTTGCTGCTTTTTAAAAAATTTTCTATTAGAAAAGTCTTTTTAAAAAGCAGTAAGAAAGCTGTCTCAAACAAAGTGTAAAACTCACATCTTAGTAGCAATATGAATTTGTGCTTTTCTGTTATTGACACGAAACTCCTTTTCGGAAAAAAGCTTAGCATTCATTTGTGACAACTTTCTTGTTGCTTTCTAAAGCAATTTTTTAATACAAAAACTTTTTGAGCTACAAATTTTAATACTATAAAGTTATTTTAGAAAGCAGTACGAAAGCTCTCCCAAACGAAGCCTTAATCTTCACATTCTTATTTCTTCAAACTATATAGTGTATAATATAGTTCTCTCACCAGATAAATGTCAAGGCCATGATGTTAGGAGATAACACCCTTTTAGAGGAAAAATTATTAAGTGCGGTGTGCGTCCGAAGGCCAATCCAGGCACGCCACATCACTAATGCAAAGTGCATTTGATGATGTGGCGCGTCCAGATTAGCATCCGGACGTGTTCGGACACCGCACATAATAATCTCTCCTTTTAGAGGGGCTCGAATTGCCATGTTCTAAAATATAATAAAAGAATTGTATTTAATCTTAATCATCTCATCATCAAATTTAACATATTAGAGCCAACTAAACATCCATAATTCACATTTCATAGAAAAGAATTATATACAATAATCTAATACATTTTTTTCAATTCGTCAAAACTTATTCATGCAATTTGTATGGTTCTAATTCGCCACTTGGCATGAAATGAACGTTGGCTGTAAGAAGGAATCTATTCCCATTATTATTATTATTATTATTATTATTATTATTATTATTATTATTATTGATATATCATCAAAAAATTATCTTGATCGGGCACGAATC